AGGTATGTCCCCACGCAGCAGAGGCATACGGTAGGACTGGCAAGATGATGCTATTTGCAACCCTGATTTTGGTTTTGAATCTCAGTTTGCTTTTTCTTCCAATGAGCGTTGAGAGCTGACTTTTCAGCGCTTTGGCTTTGTATGTTTGTTGATTTATGTATTGGGTACACGTCAGTTTCTTGTCGAGCAACACCCCTAGGGATTTTGCTTCGTTGGTTCATTCTACTGGGGTGTTTCCGATCGTAATTTCTCGGTTTGGTATACTTTTTCTCTGACTAAACATTACAGCCTGTGTTTTGTCCGGATTTAAGGCTATTTTCCATTTTATGCACCATCTTTGGAATCTATTCAATGCTCTCTGCAGATGCTTAGCTGCATGATCTGGGTTTCTCCAGCTAACAGCTATTGCTGTGTCGTCAGCGTAAAAACTCAGCAGGGATTCTGGTTCTTTTGGCGTGTCGGCCGTGTAGATGGTGTACAGGTACGGCGATAGCACAGCTCCCTGAAGCACCCCTGCTTCCAGCGTCCCGACTTCGGATAGAGTTGCCCCTATTCAAACCCTGAACCTTCTGTTGGCTAGGTATGACCCGAGGAGGCATGTCATTGCCTCGCTGTATCCCATTGTATTCATTTTATAAATGAGTCCATCATGCCATACCCTGTCAAATGCTTTACTGACGTCCAGAAATGCTGTTGCCGTATACATTTTTTGGTTGAATCCTTTTGTTGTAAATTCTGTGCGTCGTAATACCTGTAGTTCACAGGAGTGTTAGCTTCTGAACCCGAATTGAGCTTCTGGTATGGTGCCTAGTGCTTCCGATTCTTCGTTGAGTCTTTTTAATATAACTCTTTCCGCTATGCTGCTTATCGATGATAATAGGCTGATAGGTCTGTAGTTTTGCGGAAAAGTGCCATTTTTCCCTGGCGTTGTAATCATGATGACTTGCGCCTCCTTCCATCTGTTTGGAAAATATCTTAGCTTGAGCATGTTGGTTATGTTGGTAATGTAAACAATAGCTTGTGTGGATAGATTTTTTAGTGCCCTATTTGTGACGTTGTCGGGTCCTGGAGCTTTTTGGCGTTTATCAGCTTTATTAGTTCTTTTATTTCTTCGGGAGATGTGTGTATTATCCCTACTCTGCCCTTTTTTCTTTTTAATCTTCTAGCTGTTCTTCGAAGTCTATGTCTTCATTGGGGTGTTCCTTGTTTCTACATACCCTTTCTAATTCGTCCTTTAAGACTTCTGCTTTATTTACTTCCGTGGGAACAATCCCGTTTACTCCGTGTAGGGGAGGTATGGGTTTCTTGTCCTTTTGGAGATTTCTGTCAAGATGTCATTTCTGTGATTTTGTAATTGTCTTTTTACTTTCCTGGCTAGCTCGTTTGCAATCCTTTTATCTTATATTGTTCTTGTGCGATATGCTCTTCTTCTTTTCCTATTTTTTTCTTTGATTAGGTTTTGTAGTTCGTAGCTTATATCCCTGAATCTTCCTTGCTGCCTGGTGATTGTTTCTCTTTTAGAGCTGGCATCGATAGCGTTAGTTATTGTTTGTTCTAGTTTTATTACGCTGCCCTCTAGTTCTGTAATATTGTTTATTGTTGGAATGTTACCGATGTTTTCGCTCACTATTCTTCTAAAGTTTGGCCAACTTGTCTTCTTTAGGTTGTGGGGCTGCAAATATTTTAGTTCTATTGCGCCCAGGGTCAGGACGATTAGATTGTGCGTCGAATTGCCTTCGTTTAGAGAGTGTATCTCGTATTGTTGACCCACGTTGTGTAGGATTGCAATATTGAGATGCGTAGGGAGTTGTCCGTGGAAACAGGTCGGCTCTGTAGGTCCGATCACGTAGGTGTTAGGTCTGTTTTCGAGATGGCCGGATAGTCCTCTTTCGTTGTTGTTGGTTGCTCTATCGAACCAGTTGGGAGATCTCGCATTCAGGTCTCCTATAATTATTGTAGGCTCTTCTGAGTTGAGGATTATGCCCAAATCTTCGTCGAATATCGGATCATTGGGTCTGACGTAAGCTGACACTATTTTTAGTATTTCGTTGTTGTTCTTGAGTCTTACTAGTGTGGCCTCCATTGTGACCAGTCCATCTGGTGTTGGGATATGTTGATGTTCTATTCCTTTTTTAACTAGTATGGCTGTTCCTCCTGATATTGCTCTGTGATCCATTCTATAGATATCGTAGAGTGGAAATTTAGTTTTCTTTCTTTCCACTAATTTGGTTTCTTGAAGGGCTACGATATCGAGCTCTAATCTATTCATTATTTCATCCAGGAGGTTGATCTTTTTGAAAATTCCGCCGGAATTCCAGGACCCTATGCGTAGATCTTCCGTTTGGTTCGCTAGCATTTTCGTACCGCTTCTCCGAATGCAGTCATCATCTTGGTCGCCTTATCCATCATGGACATCATCTTCATCATCTTGTTGTTGTACTCCGTATGAAAGTTAGCAATGAGTGTGGCCGCGTCTTGTACTGTTTGGGTTGGTACAGGGGTCTCTTGGGTGTTTTCTGGGGTTTTCTTTGCCGCTTGAGCGTAGCTAACCCCTTAACTTGTTGTTGTTGTGTTTATTGGTCTGCCCGTCAGTTTTGCGGGTGCAGAGGTCTTCTTTTTTGATGCCTTGGAACATCCTCTGTAATTGGCCGTATGCGCTTGTTTGCAGTTGGCGCATTTTGGAGCTGTTTCTCTGCTCTTTTCACACTCATTGCCAAGGTGGTTTTCTCCACACTTTACGCATTAGGAGCTGCAATGGCTAGCCTTCGAGCTGTGGTAGTATTCCTGGCAGTTGAAGCATTATGTGGTAGCCTTTGTTATTTTGAACTCATCTTCAAAATGTACTCTCATATAGCACAGGTTTGTTATGCGTTTGAGTGAGGCAAGACCATTTTCCCTGCTTTTTTTCGATATCATATTGCTAACTCTCATAGCATTAATGTTTTTTTCCCTTTAATTCATTTAGAATTGTCTCTGTGCTTGTAGTTGCAGAAAGCGCTTTTAGTATGACTCTCTTTAGCTTCTCGCTGTCTATTGGGCATGCTATGTACTCAACTTTGGGTATGTTTTCCTCCAATAACTTTACCATACCCAGGTAATCCTTGCTTGATTTTGTGTTTATTACAATGGATCTGCCTGATCTGGTGAATTTATTATCGGAGATAATGCCGTTTTTAGCTGCTTTCTGCAGGATATTTTGGTGTGTGCGACCGTTTTTAAAATGATCGCAGGAGGTTTTTGTTTTCTCACGTTAACCTCGTTGGTCGGTATTTGAGAGTCTTTGGTGGTATCTTTTTCAACTTGGTGTTGGGTTCTGCTTGTTTTTTCTCCAAGTTTTTTGGGCTTTGCGTTGCTCACTTCTTTTCTGTGTATCTTTCGCAGCTTTTGTGAGCTATTGGTATTTTCGCTGGTTAATTTTCTGAGTTTGTTTCTCAACAACACTCATTTGCTTTGTATTCTCGCTACTGTTACTGATTGTTACTTTCTCAGTACGATGCCTCTTGTTTTTTCTTTGTTTTTTTGGACTTTTGTCCAACCTGCAGTGTCTTTCGTTGTGTCTACCTTTGGCTCTTGGGGCTTGCCCTTACTTCCAGATGGTGTTGTTGGAGGTGTTGTCTCCTTGAGTGGTGGTACATACGGCATGGTTGCGTTCCAGAGGTCGACGTTCTTGGTCTCTTGGTCTTTTTCTTTATTTTCTCTTCTCATTTCAGTCATCTGAGCGAAAAAGTCTTGAATTTGTGCTTTAGCCTTTTCTTCGCGTATTCTGCTCTCTTCCTTGAGCAGTTTTATTTGCTCCGTCAGCATATTTACTGATTTAAAAAGCTCATTGGCTTTTTCTCTTGATTCCATTTCTTTGGCTCTTTTATTGTCTTCCTCATCTTCTGAGGAGTCTCCCGTTAGCCGCTGCCGCTTCTTTTTCTTGCCGACTTCTGGTTCGGCTTCTTGGATGATGGAGACGACGTCCATGTCAGGGGGCGTCTCTTCGCTGATTGGGGGCGGGGCTTCAGTCGACTCGGTGGCTGGGCTCGGCTCCTCGTCGATGATGATGGCTTTCATCGCTGCCATCTCCGTGGTGGTTGAGATATCGTCATCTGTGTCCACTTCACTGGACTTATCATCTTCTGACTCTGGCACGTAATAGTCGTCGTCGGATATTGGGTTGTCTTCTAGATTCGCGGTGTTAATATTACTTGTAAAATTATTATAAATTGCTATTGCAGACGCAACTGAGGAAGATGATGACTTGGGCTTGTCATCCTCTTCTGTTTCTTGTGTTGTCACCTGCGTGACAACACTATTAGAGGGGAGATTATCTCTCATGTTTGCCGAAAGGCAGTGAACATTAGTGTTCAAAAATTGAAGGATTTTGCTACACAGAAGAATCTGTTTTTTTCTTTCCTACTGGCCGCTGCTAGTTGGTTTTCCTGGCTGTCGTCCCAGCGTCCACGCGGTTGTTGCTCCCTGATTTCTCAGGGAGGGATCCTCTTGAAGTTTCTCTCACCTCAGGAGCAGGCGCCGTTGCTGTCCGACTTTGTCAAATGTCAAAGCCTTACAGTGTCATCCCTGTCGGCACACTGAGGTGAACCCGTAAAAGCTTCCGCGAGGAGCCTATAAAGGCAGGTTCTCGACGGTTAAACTTAATAACAGCCCCGCATCCGCTTTTCGCTGTGATTGAAACAAAAGCCTGCGCAACGTCGGTGTCTTACTCACCGGGCGTTAATAAGCTCCGATGACGTCAGGTTGATTGCCCCCACCAAAGCACTCTTCGCTCTTCGCTGCGTCGCTGCACGTCGGGACCGTTCGACTGCTGGAGCCGAACTCTTACTGACTACTTGAAAGTTCAACATTGTTCATGGGCATTTTTTAAATATAGGTCAAATGTGTCTCTTTAAATAAATTTGTCAGCACATCCAGTAAGCGTTATTTATTTATTATTGTTTAGTTGACACTATAATCGTTAACTTGTTTTGAACCTGTTTTAGAAGGTGTATAAAAATTTATATATGAATTTTCGTTACAATATTTTTTATTGTAAGTATATATTTAATAATTCTACCTTTTATATGTCTCGTCTTCTTTTCTCCAATTCTAAGCAGATATAACAACAAAAGAATTCGGTGGAGCCTTTTTGACAAATTGTTTATAATTTGTTTTAGTTATTTAATATTTCTGATTTAGGTCTAGAGGCTATCATCTTATAATTTTTTATCTTCAATTTTTTTTTTGTGTACTAGTAGGAATGTCTTAGGACCATCCCCACATATTTACCGACTCTAGGCAACGCGCCCTTATTAATTTTGTGTGCCTTAAATACTCTCCTTCGTTTGTTGTGTAACATCTTTACTAACATTTCGAGTCCTTCTTGTTGTTGCATTTATTTTTCGTCAGTTGTCAGTTGCTTAAGAGACTGTTTGACAGGTTATAGACTGCAGTGTCTTGAATATTACTTGACTATATGAGGCAATAAATCATTTGTCCAAATTGAGAAGCTTTTAAGACATATTCGAATACAAAAAACTGTTGCTACTATGTCAGCTTGAAATTTTGTATGAGTATTTCCAAGAGTTATTAATATTTTAGCGTTCGAACCATTAAACGATATTCCTATTCATCAGTTCGTTATTTTATTTCGCATAATATTTATATAAAAATAAATTGTCTACTTACCTTAAATCTTTTACTTTTCATATAATTGCTTCTTAACAACTTTATATCCGTCACCCAGAACCCCTCATGTAAATACTTCACTCTGGGCTGAATACAAAAAACGTCTGTTATATAAATAAAGTCTGCTATATAATCGAACACCATCCAAATGGCTCGGTTTTCTTTTGTTTGATAAGGAAAAGTACTTCTCATGGGAATCACCCAAGCGTTGTAGAATACTGACATGGCGGCAATCGACATCCAGATGACGTAGAATCGACCATTAGGATCAATTATTTTTCGTTCTATAATTGTTTATTTTGTGAGTGTTTTTATCAAAAAAGCTAAAACAGTAACCTACCAAAGCGTTGTTTGAATCCTTTTGATTCATCTTTTTCTTCGAAACTTTCTTCGATATGTTTATCAGAAAACGAAATACTCAATTTTTGCTTCATCGGTATAGGAGGTTGTTGATCGATCGTTTCTCTACTGCTGACAGACGAAGGAGTTGCGGGGGTTTCGATGCGTTCTCTGGCGGCCTGAGCTCTGGTAGAAAATGCGTCCACTAAGTGTCTTATGCGATCTTGAATAAACTGCTTGTTTGCTGTCCTAAAAAGGTTACATCAGAAATGTCAATGAACCATTGCCAACACTAATATAAACATAGACTAATACCCCAACAAAGGAAAAAAAGCTAAAAAATTTTATACAGATATTTGAAGGTTCTTAAAGGTATATAAGTGGTAGCTGATAAAAAATCCGTGAAGAGTGTACAGCTTTGTTTATTTTAAGCAATCTTAAAAAATGAAAAAAATGTTTTTTGTCCATAAAACGTTTCTTATGCACTCTAGAGATAATTGGTTCAAATAAAAGTTCATAGTACATAGTACATCATACTACACAGTAGATCATAAAAAGTTTTTATTTTGAGTGTCCAAATTAAAATACAATCGCTCTTCGGGGCAAGCAAATTGAATAGCTTATAAACTATCTGGTCGATCTATTTGAAATTTAGCTCACTTTAATAACTTATTAACTGTCACAATTTTGAGTTGTTATATTACATGTCATTATGCAAAAAAAAACAAAGTTATTAACATTTATACATTATTGCAAAATTAAGGTTTTTTCACTTTTCAAGATAATTTTAAACAAAACAAAGCAAAATCAGTTCTAGATCTTCACGGATTTTTCATAAGCTACTTCTCATATACTTTTAGAATCTTCAAATATCTGTTTAAAAGTTTAACGTGAAATCGATTATTTTTTTGCAGATAGACTGGTGTATCAGGACCAAATTAAGATTATGATGTTGTTCTTGTTTTTTATTTATTATCCCATGATCTCTTCTTCTCCTTTACTTTTATCCATCGAATTAAATAGGAATGAACAAATATTGTCTTTTATCTAATCTTGTAGAGTATTTAAGAAGTCTTTGATTTTACTGATTTCTAGAGGTGTCGAATTTTTATATTTCCAAAAAGTCTTCTAAGCAAACTTTTCGTGGACCTTTGTTGGTTACTATTAGTAAATCAGGAGAAGGGTGTTTTTTTAGATTTGGGTTCAATAGACGGTTCTGGAATGCACTAAATGAAAGTTGTAATGTGTGGTCCGTTCTACTGAAAACCATAATATGGTGGTTGAAGAAAAAACACTTACGTTTGATGAATTCCTCCATTTTTGTAGGAACTGTTGTTAACCTTTTCGTTCACAGATCCATTAGTTTGCGTTTCTTGAACATTAACATTATTGCTAGTCTCTTCCAATGGTTCGCTGCACCATGAAGAGGCTTTTTGAGCAGATTTGTGGACTACCTGGTCCAAATTTAACTGTTCAGGATACACCATTCTCTATAAAAGAAAAGGTAAACTATATTACTTATTTTATTATTTTATTATATATTATTTTATTATAAAATAGTATATTGGGATAACGCCTTTTCCGACCTAAAAATATAATTCTAAAATATTCGATTTGTTTCTGTCTTCAAATAATTCGTCTCATTGACAAACATTGAATCAAGATATAATACACACTTTTAAATAAAATATAAAAATTATTGGAAACATAACGAAAAAATGCATACAATTATCAAGTGCTATGATATTCGTAGGTTACTTGTAAAAATATTCTCAAAAGTCTGAATTTATGAAAATATTTAACAAGAGTATGGTAGTAGGAGTATTATACAGTATTATACATATATATATATATATATATATATATATATATATATATATATGTATATATATATATATATAAATATGTATGTATATATCTATACATATATATATATATACATATATATATATATATATATATATATATATATATATATATGTATATATATATATATATGTATGTATATATGTATATATATATATGTATATATATATATATATATATATATATATATATATATATATATTCAGAATAGTAGCAAGGTATTTACTTAAAATACACTTAATAAAATGATTATTCCCCTAATAACAAAAAAATTCGAATAAAATATGTATGCGTCTATACTGATATGTGAAGAGTTGTAAAGGCAAAAGAATGGTTGATACTATTACAGTAGACTATACTATTACAGATTGTAGTATGCATATTAGCAACAGTACCAAAAAGTGAACAAAACGAAAACTGGTTCAATTTTGAAACGAAATTTAATTATACTGTGATAAAAAAACTCTATAAGGACCTAAAAAAACCACTTCCAAAAAGGATTTATGTATGAGTCTAGTTACAAGTTGTCAGTCTTTTTATTATGTCAATTATATTGTGTCAGTAACATGAATTATGTCGGCAATGCTTGTCCGTAGCTCAAAAAAAGCCTCAGTAACATAAGGGAACAAGATTTTGATGCCAGGTCTACTATTGAATCTTGCAGTTACGTCTCGAGCAAAAACCAATGCCATCCATGTTTTAAAGCGGCCTTGCCCTTTGAAAATATTCCCGATAAAAAAATTACAACAAAAAACAGAGTTAAAACATAAAAGATGCTCAATAAATCTTATGGGTGAAGCTGTAAGTTCTTCTCATTAAAGCGAAAGTAGACTAATAGACGTATTTTGTCTATATATATATATATATATATATATATATATATGATGTGATGATGATTTTGTGTGATGCTATATACATCACACAAAATATTTTCGTGAAGAACAACGGTGCTGAAAAATGTGGCTGAAAAATTTCATATATCCAAACAGTACTGGCGTATCTTCCAAAGGCCAAAAGTGAGCATTTGAAGGTAACATTAGCCAGTCTTGAAAATAAAATGAAGAGCTTAGTGTGGATCACTGGAATACTGGTATTTAAACCGGTCTTCGATGAAGTTTCTGGATAGACAAATATTCCGAGATAGAATTGAATTTTAGGCTGCATTAGATGTATCAATTAGACAATCAATTGTACTGGTAGATGTATGCAGTTTAATCACTAATAACCAGAGCCTGCGATCAGTGCCCATCAGCTTTATGTATAAGACCAAGATATATTCATGGAGGAAGAAACATCATACAAGCAATAAGATGAGCATCCAAAACATTAGTGGACTAAATTTTAAGGGATGGAAGTTAATCGGGCGGTATACAAATAAAGTTATAACGTTAATTTTCTCTGGGTTTCCATTCGATATTTCTTTTACTTCGCTTATTATCGTATTGGGTAACGGGTAGATACACTTTACGATCCCGGTACCTAGATCTACTACAGGTTCGCGACCCTGCCCTGCCTACGTAAGCCGTAGTTCACTCTGACTCCCTTTCACCGAGAGGGTATCACGCCCCAACCTATCATCCTTGTCAAAGACCCCAAAATTTCCTAACCCATCCTAACATCCGTCTACCAACCCGCACAGGCACAGTCTCTGGCAGTCCGTTGAAACTAGGCTATGGTAGCTGTCACGGAGGTAGAGGGACAGAGGGTGCTAAGAATCTGCGGAGTGGACCAGGCTACCTATAAAAACGATAACGGCAAAGAATATGGTTTATGGCAACATATAACACCAAAACATTGATGGAGAACGAAAAACTTAAGGAACTTGACAACGAGCTGAAGCATATAAAATGGGATATAGTTGGATTATCTTAAGTACAGCGAAAAGGCGAAGAACAAATGGTACTTTCGTCGGGAAATCGATTTTACTATAGAGGAAAATCTTCTAATGGTGGCGTCGGATTTATGATAAACAAAAAAACACACGAAAAATATACTTACAATTAAAAGCATAAGTGATTTATAGTGAGTTATTTATCTTATCTACAAAGTAAACGAAAAAATTCGATTAAAGATCATCCAGGTATACGCACCTACCAGTGCCCACACAGACGAAGAAATTGAATGGTTCTACGATGACGTTAATACTGCGCTAGAAGAGGTAACCACCAACTATACCATACTGATGGGAGACCTAAACGCAAAAATAGGCCACAAGCAGGATGATTCGAAGTTTGTACTTGAACCTCACGGATATGGCGACAAAAAAGAAAGGAGTCAAACTCTTATAGAATTTCTTCTGCAACACAGACTATATGTCATGAACACCCATTTTAAAATAGCCCCCAAAGAAAGTGGACTTGGCAATCACCAAATGGCTTGAACAAGAACGAAATTGATTTTATCTGTACTAACAAAAAAGACGCTGTTTAAGACGTAACTGTATTAAATCAACTTTTAACCGGAAGTGACCATATAATGGTTAGAGGGAAGGTAGTCTTGAACGTAAAGAAGGAAAGAAGAAATATGGTAACAAGAACTAAAAATGTTACGTTTACTGCGATTACTAACACAAGGGCATGTTAGGAAGAAATAGATAGAAAGCCGTAGAATGACGTGCAAGATGAAACCGACATTGAACAACTTAACGAAAGGTTGGTGGACGCTCTAAGAAAGGCACAGACGAACTGTCAAGTTAAGCTAACAAGGAAAAATAAAAAACTTACAGAAGGCACAAGGAACCTAATGCATAAAAGAAGGGAAATGAAAGATAAGCACACTGTGAACATCGCAGAGCTAAGGAATTTACATAAAACCATTTCAAAAGCCGTAAGGAAAGGCATAAGGCAATTTAACATTAAAGAAACAATTAATACCATAGAACAAAATAAAAGCCATAAAGTTCTAAAACGAAAGTTGAAGACAGGAACCAGGAACATTTATAAGCTAAAAAATAGACAAGGACATGCTGTATATGAACAACAATAGATTATGAAAATTATCGAAGAGTACTGTAGAACATTATATCGTCGAGATGCTCACATTCCAGAGGTGGAAATCTCAGCCATTCAAAATCAAGGATCAGAGGAACTTCCAGATATAACCGATGAGGAAATCGAATCAGCGTTGAAAGGTACGAAGAACAGCAAATCACCTGGAGAAGATGGCATTGTAAGTGAAATGCTAAAATTAGGAGACGAATGCGTAATAAAAGCTTTAAAACCCCTTTATAATGCCTGTCTCTTTGAAGGAGTTACACCAGAAAAATGAAATAGTGCCATTATGATAATATTGCACAAAACAGGAGATGTACCAGAAATTGGAAGCTACAGACCTATCAGTTTATTATCTTATTTATATTAGCTATTTATGTGAATAATTACTAACAGACTGGAACCTAAGCTGGATTTTCACCAACCATTAGGGCAGGCCGGATTTAGGAGTGGCTTAGGAACGAATGACTACGTACTAGTAATAACATCCTTAATAGAGAAAGTTACAGAATAATACAAAAAGCCATTGATATTAATATTTGTAGACTTTAAGAAAGCGTTTGACTCAGTCCAGCATAGCCCATGTTAAGAGCTCTTACAGAGGGCAGTATTGATCATAGGTACACAACTCGTCTTCGGAATATATATATATATATATATATATATATATATATATATATATATATATTTATATATATATATAATATATATATATATATATATATATATATATATATAATAACTCAACAGCTGCAGTTAGAACGTATTACGGCAATACAAATACATTTCCCTTCGAGAGGGGTATTAGGCAAGAAAATACCATCTATCCTAAGCTATTCACCGCCTTGTTGCAGAGTGCTATGAGAAACAATAATTGGGAGAATATTGGAGTCAACATAATGGAGAGTTTCTGAACAACTTGAGATTTGCAGACGAGTAGATGTTGCATAGTCATTATTGCAGACCGGGTAGATCATGCCTGCCCGCTTCTTCAAGACCTTCAGAGCTCGTGTACACGAGTTGAACTTAAAATTAATTTTTCCAAAACACAATATATGACCAACCTTGTACTGGCGAAAATCATCTCAACTAAAGGCGCGCAAATTGAACAGGTGTATAGCTATAAATATCTACGCCACGAGATTAAATTATTAAGAGATATTCAAACAAAGGAACTAAACAGGAGAATAGGACTGACATGGGCGGCTTACGGAAAACTAAGAGATCTCTTTAGGTCAGATATTCCCACGTGATTGAAAAGGAAGGTCTTTGATCAATGTGTACTCCCAGTTCTAACGTATGGAGCAGAAACATTGACCCTTACCAAAAAAGTAATCAATAAAATACAATTGGTACAGAGAGAGATGAAGAGGTCAATGCTGAATATATCCCTAAGAGACAGAGTATCAAATACAATAGTTAGGAGAAAAACTGGTGGTAGAACGGAGCAGATTAAAAGATGGAAGGTGGATGAAAAAAATTCTGGAATGGAAACCTAGACACGATGCTTATCGTAATCGAGGACCTCCTCCAACAAGGTGGTCAGATGACATCAAGCGCATTCAGCACAACTGGATTGAAGGTGCTCAAGATATAATGCATTGGAATTATTTACGTGAGGCCTATGTCCAGCAGTGG